AAACAGTAACCACCTGTTATCCAAGGATCCTTCGGTTACTAATATGAGGCGGTCTCTCAGATCATTCCGTTGGGCGGTCATCACCTGGAGCTGAGTGGTCAGGCTCTCCACCTTCTGCTTCACCTGCCTCTTTGAGAGCCTGGTGGGAGTGGGTGGTGGTTCCTTGGAGGCCCCTGTGGGTAGATGAATGAACACAAGTGAACATGCTTTGTGAAAAGACATAGAGAACAGGTCACCCTGAGACCTGAGAAGGTGTTTAAGAAAGGATGTAAGAAAGCAATTAAGTGATGCCCCAAAGAATTTTGCCCTGGATTGAGATGCCCCCGCTGGGCATCTTAGGTCTCCCATTTCTGTGTCTGGAGATAGGTGTCTCAGCCAGCTGGTTTCCTCTGATCCTTTAGCACATGCTTTAAGTAACTAAGGAGAGAGCCTCCTCAGGCTTATTAACAGCTCTGGACTCTGCATTCAACTTGGATGCAGGGTTCACTAGTCTGTGGCTTTCAAATACAAGATAAAATTGACACAGTCCACAAGCACTCAGGTCATTAAAAATGCAAAAATATCCTGACAGGTCACTCTAAGCACATGGCAAAAATGGAGAATCCACACAGGGGCAGAACATGGTCACCATCCTCACCAAGATGCCTCAGTGACAAAGGAGAGTGCATAGAGATGGTAGGCTATAAATAAATGAAGACACTGAGGTTGAAGTACATTGATGACCTGCTTTTTGCTGGGCACAGTTCACTTGAACTTCCTACCCTAATGCTGGCCTTTTTGTTCCCTCCCAACCCCTACCCTCCTGTAGGATTGAAAGACGAGCTCACAGCACCACAGCTTTGGCCTTACTCGCTCCTGATTTCTGGGACAGACAAATTACTCTTCTGGAATCCTTGAATTTCAGGAGCCATGACAAGCAGGGACGTTCAGTTGGTTCCCAGAGACTCCTACCTCCTGTGTCCCATTACTGGAAGATTCAGCTCAAGCCCATGTCCTGCAGGAACATCCCAATTTCCTGCCCACAACTTACTGTACCATCTTCTGGACCATTTCTTTCTTGTTGTTTTAAATGGAGGCTGAAGGCCAGATTGTGTCTGCCTCTCTTTGGTCTCTTTTCCTTCTCCTTTCTCTCTATCCAATAGACTTCTGAGTCTTCCCAACATGTTCATGGCTGAACTTTAAGGGCACTGAACCAACTGTCCAAGGGCAGTTGGTGTTGCTACAACACAGGTGACATCAGATAACATTCTAAAGTCTCCAGGATACAATAGAATGTCCAGGCATGAGACACCCCTGATGTCATGAGGAACTGACATTGCCTCCCTGCTAACCAGATTTCCTCATAACTCTCCAGAAGCCAGGTTTCCCTTTCCAGGAATCTCTCTTGGCTATCAAGAGAAATGCTTCAGTACCCTTTTCTTCCATAGCCAGAGATTGCTCTCTGATTGTTTGGAAATGCCTCAGTACTTCCATGTGGGAACGAAAGTGAGTGTTCATCTCCTATTAAAGTATATGTCCAGAAGGTAACAGTATTATAGATATTTATGTGAGGTATGGCTCTCCACAAGTATCTGCATCTCCTTATTATCAAGAAGTGATAGACTTAATGATAATGGAAAGGACACTTTTAAACAACTTCCCAGTATGGAGCCTACAGAAATTACTGCCAGTAGATAATATGCAGCTTAGTTTATTTAAATTGATGACCACTGGCAGATTGCATTAGCATGTTACATGGGATCTATAGATAATCACTACCCAGTACATCAGCTTTTTAGAGTTTCTGAAAATGCTCAATGAGTGTGACCCAAAATTATATCTACAAGTCCTGGAGAGTTTGCTCTTAGTGATTTTACAGATTGTTCTTTAAAAAGACAAGGATCATATATTTTATACACAAATTCTTCACACTCCTCAAAATGGTTAGTACCTTCCCCTGACTGTACAGCTCAATACTCAAAACTTATTATATTCCATTAGTTTTAATTAGACATTGCTCAGTAATAGGTTACTTTTAACTCACTTCATGTATATATTTGCACATGAAGGATAAAGTTATACTGAAAATGGAAACTGTAGTTGTTTATAACATTCTTCCCATTTTTTGTCTTTTCCTCTACACAAGCCTCTACCTTCTTTATGATGTTATTCATAAGGCTGTTTT